CCCTAGAATATTCAAGTTGAGACACTGGAGATCCTTTATTTGGCAAAAGCTTTAGACTACGATCTATACGAGTGCTAACAGGAGAACAATTCTCAAAGTTAAACTTTTCAATATCTTCTCAATGTAATGAGATTGAGAAATTGAAATCCCATTGTTTCCTTGTTTAATTCTTATACCAAGAATTACCTCAGCCTCCCCAAGGTCTTTCATTTCAAAACTGGATGATAAGAATTTCTTGGTTTTATTAACTTCTTCTAAATCAGTACGAAAAATTAACATATCATCCACATATAAACAAATCATGACTCCTTTTCCAGAAGTATCAAATTTGCTATATACACACTTGTCAGCTTGGTTTAATGCAAAACCATTAGACAAGACAACATCATCAAACTTTTGATGCCATTGTTTTGGTGCTTGTTTCAAACCATATAATGATTTCTTTAACTTGCACACTTTGTGTTCATTTCTAGGAATCACAAACCCTTCCGGTTGTTTCATGTATATTTCCTCATCCAAGTCACCATTCAAGAATGCAATTTTCACATCCATTTGGTGAATCACAAGATTATGTATAGCTGCAAGAGCTAATAATAATCTAATAGTAGAAATTCTGGCAACAGGAGCATAAGTATCAAAGAAATCAATACCTTCCTTTTGTCTAAAGCCTTGGATAACCAATCTGGCTTTATACTTATCAATTGTGCCATCCACCTTCATTTTTCTTTTGAGGATCCATTTACATCCTAATGCCTTGCAACCAGGAGGTAAATCAGCCAATACCCAAGTATTGTTATGCATAATAGAATCAATCTCATCATGAATTGCCTCTTTCCAGAAATGAACATCCCTAGAAGCCATAGCTTCATTGAAAGTCTTTGGATCCTCTTCAATATTAAAACAATATTGATGTTGAGAAATAGTTTCATTCCTTGTTCCTTCAACTAAATATAGTTGAAAATCAGATCCAAAAGACTTAGCTTTTCTAGCTCTGGTGCTTTTCCTAGGTTCAGGTACAGAAGTTGCACCACCAGAAACATCTTCAGCTTGAGTAATACTCTTGTTGGAAGATTGATGAATCATGTCCCTTGGTCTAGGTATAGATGTAAATCTTTCTTCATCAAAATAGCATCTCTTGACTCTATCACTGTGTTTATAGACACGGAGTCATTAGATTCTAAAACATAGAATCTATATGCTTTGGAATGCTCATCATATCCAATAAAGATACAATCTATACCTCTCTCACCTAATGTTTTCCTTTTGGGTTCAGTGAGCCTTACAACTGCTCTACAACCCCAAATTTTGAGATAACTCAAATTTGGTACCTTTTTACACCAAAGTTCATAAGGAGTATTCTTACTCCTTTTATTTGGAGTTCTATTCAAGATGTAACATGCAGTTAACATTGCCTCACCCCAAAACCCTTCACTTAAACCAGAATATGAAAACATGGAATTAACCATTTCTTTCAAAGTCCTATTCTTCCTTTCAGCTACACCATTTTGTTGTGGTGTATATGGAGCTGTGGTTTGATGTATTATTCCAGTTGATTCAAAATAAACTGGATCATAATACTCACCACCTCTATCAATATGCAATACTTTTATTAATTCATTTTTATGAAGCTCAACTTGTTGTTTATAAATTTTAAATTTATCAAGTGCTTCATCCTCAGAATGTAGCAAATAGATATAACAGTATCTAGATGCATCATCAATGAAAGTAACAACATACTTCTTGTTTCCAAGGGAAGGTGTTGCATGGAAATCACTAAAATCATTATGTATAAGATCCAACACCTTGCTTTCCCTAACAACATCTTTGAAAGGTTGTCTAGTGATTTCAGTTAGCATGCATGTTTTACATTTTTCATTATTTTGCATATCAAAAGCAGGAATCAAACTCATTTTAGACATGTCTTTTAATCTCTTGTAATTAATGTGTCCTAGTCTAGCATGCTATAAATTAGATTTATGAAAATTATTGCTAGTACTACTAGAAGCCATGAAAATAGAATTATCACTAGAAGGATAATTAATATTAAGCCTAATCATTCCATTACATATATATATATATATATATATATATATATATATATATATATATATATATATATATCCAAATCCCATAAAAGAACCATGTCTTGACAAGATATACTTGTCACTTTCTAACACTTGTTTGTAACCAGAATTATTTAATACAATTTCAGACACGAGATTCTTACGAATTCCTGGAACATATAAAACATTGTTCAAACACAAACATTTCCCAGAAGTAAAAGTAAGTAAAACAGATGCTATTCCCTTGATTGGTTCAGTTGCAACATTTCCCATCTTAACAACAGATCCATCTTCAATTGGTTGAAAGTCCTTGAACCAATATAGATCTTTGCCAACATGACTTGTTGCTCCTGAATCAACCCACCATGCAACTTTATCATCCTGCACATAAAATGCTTCAGAAATCACAGAAATATAATTCTGAATATATTTAGAATTCTGCAATGAAACATATATTTGACCTTGTTGCTTTTTTGGATCCTTAGATCCACTTAGTCCAGCACCATCCTTATTCACTTTGCGAAGATGACAATCTTTCTTGAAGTGACCCGGTTTGTTACAATTCCAACAAACCAACTTAGCCTTGTTGTTGGAAGACTTGTCATCCTTTCCTTTAAACTTCCTTTTTCCATTAGACTTCTTGGGATTCTTTGAACTTTCTCCTTCCACCATGTTCACAGAAGAGGAACCAACTTGGTTCTTGCCTTTAGGATTGTTATCAAGTTCTTGAGTCCTTAATGACTTTTCAATCCGTAAATGACTTCCAAGTTGAGTCAAAGTTAATTCCTCTTTGTTATGTTTTAGATTATGTTTAAAATCTTTCCAGGAAGGGGGCAGTTTGTCAATTATCACAGCCACAGCAATGGCTTCATCCATTTTCAGATTGTGTTGAACAAACTGTCCTAGGATCCTTTACATTTCATGGAATTGTTCCATAACAGGCCTGAAGTCAATCATCTTGTAACCCATAAAATTACTGACAAGAAACTTCTTGCTAGAAGCATATTCAGCCATGTATTTGGATTCAAGAGAATCCCAAAGTTCTTTTGCAGATTCGAAATTTTGATAGATATCAAAAAGAGAGTCAAACATACATTTGAGAATATGACCACGACATATGTAATCATCATTTTCCCACGACATATGTATACAAAGTAAACTTTTTTTTCTTGTTTTTTTGGTGCCTTTGTACAACTCTTAGATTTACTTGTGAATCTGAAATATATTAATTAATTGTACATAATTTACATTTAAATAATTATTTTTTATGTTTTTTCAAAACTTACTGAATAATTCACTCATTACTCGTTAACATATAATAATGTTTATAGCTAATAGTTTGCGTGAGTGATTATTGTGTGCCAAAATCGTTCAAATCTATTGATTTTTTAATTTACATTTATAATTTGATGATTAATATAAATGATAAATATCAATGTGAATGATCGTTTATCTAAATTTATGAATTTTATACATGAATTTAAATAGAAATTCACATTTACATGTGAATTTAACTAAATTAAAAGAGAATTTACCTACATTCACTTTTTTTTATTTCAACATTTTGATCATAAACAAATAAATTTAGTAATTATCATTGGTGAATTTTCTTAAATTTACAAGCAATTAATCAAAATTTGTCGGAAAAATCGGGTATAATAAACATTCACTGTGATTTTTTTTGATTTTATAAAAAAAAAAAAAAAAAACGATACTGTTAAGATTAACATGAAAATCTAAACATAAACTTTGTTTAAAAAATCATTTTTTATGAATAGATATGAATGTCAATTTCAAGAGTACAAAAAAAAAATTGAATTTTGATATATTTATAATAATATTTTTCTGTTAAAAATAAATCTTATCAATTAAAAAAAATAAAAAAAATAAAGATTTTTTTTTTTTTTTTGCGAAAAAAGTTCGGTTTTTATTTATGTAGATGGATCTCTGATGATAGATGAAAAATCATGAATTTTAATATATTCAAAAAAATTTCGATAAAAAACATGGCCCGAAAATAAAAATGGAAATAAAAATACAAAAACTGTGAGTTTTTCTCAAAGTTCTAAATAATGTAAGGCGTGACTTGACGGCAATGTCAAACCTCAAGCTTTTTCGAGTCTTGACAAGCCATGTCGTCTGTAAGGTGAGACTTAAGCCGACAAACTTGTATATAATTAATATTTTTATATGTATTTTCAACTATTATTTATTTTTACAAACATATATAAGTCAAGACTACACATACAAGCCTTGGAGCCATAACGTCTCATGGCGACCTTTTTAGAACATTGGTTTTTCTACTATGACAATAAAAATACAAAAAACTATGTGAGTTTTTCGTGCGTGTTCAAATAAGTAATATACATCGTTTCCTTTGGTCATTTAGTTTGAATTTATGAAGATAGCGATTGGTTTCTTGATTTCCCTTAATTATAGTTCTATCTTGAACATGACTATATATATATATATATATATATATATATATATATATATATATATATATATATATATATATATATATATATATATATATATATATATATATATATATATATATATATATGACAAAACTGCAAAGATGGTTCCTGTGGTATGCAAAATTTTTGGGTTTTAATCTAAACCACGATTTTTTTGGATTGGTGGTCCTTTTGAGCTCGTTTCATTGCGTTTTTGGTTCCTTTAAATAGTAAAATGACTGTAATACCCTTAGGTTATTTATTTTTTATTTCTTTCATTTTTTTAAAAATCTAAATACTTATTTATTTATTTAACCAATTAAAAAAATAAAAGTCTCTCTCTCTCTCTCTCTCTCTCTCTCTCTCTCTCTCTCCGGGTCGTATACCCATTTCTTTCTTTCATTCCCGATTTCAACGAACAAGAAGGGGCTGCTACCTCCGACAATCTGGAGATAGCTACCGCACCACCTGCTAGCCTCTATTCGACCACCAAACTCCACCGTGAACCGCTACATATCCGCCCACCATAGAACCATTCCAACCTCACCCCATCTCTTTTTCTTTTCTGTTGATTTGAGAAATCCCAAACAAACCCCAATCCTTGCTCCTTTTTTCCTCTTCGATCACCCTTGTATTGGGAAGACGGAAGCAACGAAGCTATTGTGCAACCACTACTCGTCGTCGTTGCTGTGGTGGGAAGTCCCCACCACCATTTATCACCGCCCACGAATCCAGATGCAGGTATCCGATGGGACGAATTTAAACCCAAAAGAAACTTGAACAGACTTACCAATGGCAGCAAGGCGATGGTGGCAGACTGTGATGGTGGTGGGATGTAATGGCGGTCGACGGTAGCTCCGGCGGCTTCTATTGCATTGTTTACGACTTACCCTCTACGGGGATTGGTGGTGATCGAATTCGGTGACTAGTGATGGTTGAAGTTCCCTGACAACAACAGCTTGGTGGTGGCGGTGATGACCGGAACTCCACAGCATTTGTGACGGTGGGTAGTCGTGGGTGGCTACCCTTAGAGGTTCTTGTTCCCTTCTTCGTTTTATGAGCAGCAGGTCTTCAAAAGGAAGAGTGTAGAAGGATAAGGTTAGATGCGAGAGAGAGAGAGAGAGAGAGAAGTGGGTCCTAAATTAGGTAATTATTTTATTTTTCATTTAAATTAAATAGAAAAAGCATAAAAAAATTTATCAGAAGGGCATAATAGTCTTTTCAGTTTACTGAGGGACCAAAAACACAAAGAAACTAGCTCAAAAGGACCACCAATCCAAAAAAATCATGGTTTGGACTAAAACCCCAAAATTTTGCATACCACATGGACCATTTTTTCCATAAGGCAATGTTATATTATGGACTACGAGTATTGTGTCACAAAATGGACAAATTAATTTAGGTAAAACAAATCTGAACCAATCATTTTATTAGAATTTCCGTAATTATATTAACATTACTTAATTCACCAGTTTCTAAATATAATTGCTATAGGGGTTTTTTGGTTTTTTAAGAAGAATTATAAAAGGGGAAAATTTGTATGTGTAAGGATTTTTCATAAAATTATGGGATGTTTTTTGTTTGAAAAAATTAGAATTTATTCTAAAAGAATACATTCCAACAATAATAAAAATATAATTTTTTATTAATGATTTTTCTTTTTTAATTAATAATGAGAAAATTAGAGAAATCAATTTCCTTAATTACTTTGTAGAATATAACAAAAAAAAAATACTCAAACATTACAAAAATAACCATCTAAATTGCAGATGGATTAAGCCTATCTACGATTTGATCATTTGATCTACGAATTACAAGTTGGTAAAGCACAAACACGTGTTATGAGTTATACATTCGTAGATGGTTTTTGTAGTTTGTTTTTTTATTTTTTTTTCGATATAAATATCCTCACATTTGACTAAAATCGCAGATGAACTTAGTCCAACTGCGATTTCCTCTGAAGTTCATCTGTGATTTTGGGGTTATTCGTTTTTTTTACTATGAAATTGATAGGGTTTGACTACGAAATAACCATATTATATATAAAATCTTGTAAAAAATTATCACATAAACTATATCAGTAAAAAATTATCACATAAACTATATATCTATAAACGAATTTTTCAAACAAATAATAACTAAAGTGATAATTTTTTACAAGACATCATATATAATATGGTTGTTTCGTAATCAAACCTTATTAATTTTGTAGTAAAAAAAAATGAAAAAAACCCAAAATCGCACATGAACTTCAAAGGAAATCACAGATGAACTAAGTTCATCTGCAATTTTAGTCACGTGTGAGAGTATTTATATCTGTGAAATTAAAAAAAAAAAACATCTACGAATGTACAACTCATTATACATTCGCAGATCAAATAGGAAAATCACAGATGGGCTTAATTCATGTGAGATTTTGATGGTTATTTTTGTAATTTTGGGTTTTTTTGACTATTTTTTACAAAGTAAGGAAACCGACAACTTTTATAATTTTCTCATTAATAATTATAATAAGATTTATATGTATTCCTGAAATTTGATTTCAAATAATCAACCATAGTAATCTGCAATATCGATCTTTTCGAATACACCAAATATATATTTTTACAATAGCATTCTTTATGAATATATAAGATTTTGCTACATACGCATACGATACATGTGACTGTGAGTTTACCTTTACAATACATACAAATCTATCATGCAATAGCTTCAGAATACATTAAAAGAACTAAGGAAATCTGAATACTATCAAAATGATTTCTGGAAGTATTCTTGAATAATGATTTCTAATAAAGTAGACTTATTCTTCTACTAGAATCTAGAATTCACTTGATCTTTTACCAAAATCCAAATTAAGTTTCATCTTATACACATGATCTTCTTTAAAAGTCTTGTTCAGTAAAACTAAGAACTAAAGAATGTATTTATATGCACAAAAAGATATTTTAACAGAATATATTTATACATTAAATTATTTTTTTTAAACTTTGATCTTAATGTAATTACAAAGTTTAAGCAAGTCTTATAAATCTAAAAATCGTGAAGAAAGTCAATCGGCACTAACTCCTAAACCATCAATTGCCAACAATCTTTAAGTTATTTTACCAATTTAAGCTCACAAAACCAAACATATGCTTAGTAAAAATTAACTAAAAAAATGAATTCCAAAAATTTAACATGATTATGGGATTAAATCAAACCTTTTTTCCAGTCGATTATCAAATGAATATATAAGTACTGAGAATGACAATTTTCCATCACCATTGTAATCCTGCATAATGAAAAAGCCAATATTAAAATGTTTTTGGACTCTAAATTACGTTTTAGCTGTCGAAATAATATTGCATTTCATTGATATTCGAGAAACCTTTAATTTTACTTCAAAAAAGACAATTATGCACAGAAAATAGAAGATACTCACTTGTACCTGATCTTTTACTTGTACTGGAGATTAATTACATGGAGTCCTTTTAATCCAAATGAACTCGAATAGGTTAATAGTGAAAACTTTACAAACTATAGATTTTAGTTGTACAATAATTCTTGAATGTCTATCAAAAGGGAAAAAAAAAATAATAATAAACAAACATGATTTACAAAAGGAATAAAATAACCACGAGGGGTGAACGGGAAGAGAAATCAGTAAAATCAATTTTGGAATTAATCAATTGCAATATAGCTAAGAAAGATGCATATGCAGACCTCATATAGCTTTGGAAAATTGCAAGAAACAAATGTATACATTACCGGAAAAATATAAAGTTTTTTATTTTTTATTTATTTATTATTATTATTATTATTTTCTCGAGAAAATTAATGCTTATTACCGGAAATGGGAAATTAATCTTCAACCCGATACTCGAGAAATATATAGGAATGGTAAAATAATAGAATTTTTTTGTTAAAGAAATAGTTTTTGATTTAAACCCCAAAAAATAATAGTAAAACTTCAAGTCTTTTAGTAAATTAAACCTATTTATACATCAATATCAATACCATAGTCCAAATTCCTACGGTTTTTGTTGTAATTTCTTTTCAAAAAAAAAAAAAAAAAAAAAACTCAAAAATGGTTTAACTATACGATGTTTATTATTAACAAGTTTTTAATGCATTCATTCTTGTTAAATTCCTAGGGTTAGATTTGATAAAGTATATAATTTTTTTAATGCATGCATTCTTGTTAAATATATTTTTGAAGAATTGATTGTAGGGATGATTGTAAGTCTACTACAATAATTCAAAATTCGTCTCATGTAAAATATCGTTCCTTTGCAAGTATGGAAAAACTTGTACACCAATGGCAATATCTTTGCTTCATAAAAGCTATTTAATTGCCATTTATAGTATTTACAAGTTGATAATGCACTAGTACAACTTTCTAATGGAATATTAGGTGTATTGTGTGTGGTGGGTATTTGGCAGTTGGGGACAAACAGAAAGTGTACTATAGAGGACATAGGTACCGTCCCACTTTTCTTTTAACAAATTCCCCTATGTAAAACTTTATGGAAAATTATACAAAACTATTAAATATTATTTTAACAACTTTGTTTTATTTTTGTCAACAAAAACATAGTAAACTACTAAAACGCACATATTTTACTAAACCATTTCTAGTCCGCAGTACAAAAATAAAAATAAAAAATTAAATGCATAATAGGATAGATCAAGACTTCAATCTTATGTCAACATAAAATTCTCTTGGAAATACTAATACTTTATGTTTTCCATTATCAAAACAAAATTGCTTTAACTTTAGAAGTAATTTTGCAGATTTATATAATTGTTCTTTAGAAAACATGAAAAGAAATACGGTAAAATTAGTACGGTCTAACGTTTTTATAGATTTTATTTATTTATTTTTTATTTTGTTAATTTGTCCAATATCAGGTAGATATATTCAATAACTGGGAGGGTTGTGACGGGGTCGGGTGGGGGTGAGTAGATAACCACATGGGTGTATGCACCAAATTTACGAATATGGATTATGACTTCACTGTATTTGTCCCACTCTTGTCACCCTTGCTTTTCCTTTTCTTTTTATCATATCAAAAGTCTTATTTTTCTTTTATGTAGTGCATTAATTACAATAAAATATTATGTAAAATATAAATTTAAGAAGATAAAAGTAATATATGTATATTTTAATTAATTTTATTTTGAACATAAAATATATTTTACTGTTTAAAAGCCCATAATACACATCTATAATTTGCGTATTTGATCGACTTAAATTTGTATTTAAAATTTAAATATTTATTTATTATTTTTTCCATTACGAGATTTTACTTGAAATTAGATGAATTGGTATAAATAATTAATGATCTAACACTTAGAATGTTGTGTGAGGTTGAACGTATCCATATCGATATAGATATATAACCCAAACTCATAAAATGTCCAATAATTCACCTTTCTTCATGCATGCAACAAAGAGAGCTATTTTATGTACTCTTTACTCAATCAAATGATCTATACTTAAAAATGAATCAAAGCTAATGGATTTATTCAAACTCCATGGAACAAGCCTCAAAGGGACCAACACTAATTAAAATGGATCACAAACACAACAAACTCCTAGATCTATGGACAAAATGAAATAAATCTTGGATCTTTATGACTTATAAAGGTCCAGAAGTGGTAAAAAGGCTTGATACATCTGATACAAAGTTTTAATGACTAATCTATCTTGACTCCTTCGCTTAAGAACCACAAAACATATCAAAAATGGATATAAGGAGAGAATATGAGCTCAAAACCCTTCATTGGAGGCTAGGGTTTTACAAGGGTCATTTAAGGGGTGATCTATCTTGACTCCTTTGCTTAAGAACCACAAAACATATTTAAATGGATATAAGGAGAGAATATAAGCCCAAACCCTTCATTGAAGGCTAGGGTTTTACAAGGGTCATTTAAGGGGTGATGGAGGTTGTGAATGAAGAAACCCTAAGGGTTTGTGCCCTTTAAATATGCACAAAACCCTAAAAACATGTCATAAACCCGTGGACCTATGCACCCCACACTTTTTAACATGAGCACCCTATGCCTTAGTTTTTCAGTTTTTCATATTTAAGATAAATAAGTAGTTAAAGTTGGAACAAGATACATATTGGGAACTAAGGTGTTATAGATTCACATTGAGAACGCTGAAAACATAGTTATATATAGTTTAGATCTACACTGCGAGAAATAGTAAGCCATACTCATATTGTGAATTTTAAGAACAAAATTATATACAATCGAAATTCATAATGTAAATAACTTCAGTTACAAAATTTCAAAATCTAATTTATCAGTAATCAATACGGTAAAATATTATAAAATTACAAGTAAATATATACTTCGATTCACATGTAATTTTCACTAAATTAATTTGTGAATGATCAAAGTGTTGAAATAGTATGCCAGATTCACATTGTGAATGCTAAAAACTAAATTTTATACATTTAAGATTCATAGTGTGAATCCAACCATATCATGGTTCCTTGTTTCAAAGGTTTAAAATGGTTCCTTATTTAACTGAACAATATATATATATATATATATATATATATATATATATATATATATATATATATATATATATATATATATATATATTAAAACGTCCCAAAAATCCGTACCAAAAGTTTTACAATAAATCATTATCAAAGCCATATTCATAAAAACATATCATAAGTCATAACATACATTCAAAGTATTAATTCCAAAACATAATTCATTATCAGAGTAAAATATCCCAGGCTGACTAATCAATGGTGTGTGTCATGCGATCACCCCAAGCTCTTCCCTCCGCTACCGGAAGTACCTTAAACCAAAAATGAAAACCGTAAGCACGAAGCTTAGTGAGTTCCCCAACCTACCACATACCCTGCACAAACACATATAGCATATACTGGGCCACGCCCACTATTTCGGGCCTCGCCCCTACCTCAGGCCTCGCCCGCTACAACGGCCCCGCAGCT